AAAAATTTCATCGAATTTGGTCAGGTGGTTGTCGAGATATTCTCATTCAAAGATTTAGAAAAAATCAAAACGTCTATCAAAACAAAGCTGTGTCAAAATTTTTCTAAAACTTTGAGTGAAGATATCTCGACAACCACCTGGTTAAATTCGATGAAAATTTTTTTATTTGAATTCTACAGATCGCTAGAATTCAAATAAAAAAAATTTTCATCGAATTTAGCTAGGTGGTTGTCGAGATATCTTTGCTCAAAGTTTTAGAAAAATTTTGGCACAGCTTTGTTTTGATAGATATTTTGATTTTTTCTAAAATTTTGAACGAAAATATCTCAACATCACCTGACCAAATTCGATGAAAATTTTTTTATTTTAATTCTACAAACTCTAGAATTCAAATAAAAAAATTTTCATCGAATTTAGTCAGGTGGTTGTCAAGATATCTTCGCTCAAAGTTTTAGAAAAATTTTGGCGCAGCTTTGTTTTGATAGACATTTTAATTTTTTTCTAAAACTTTGAACGAAGATATCTCAATAACCACCCAACCAAATTTGAACAATTTTTTTTTATTTAAATTCTACAAATCTGTAGAATTCAAATAAAAAAAAATTCATTGAATTTAGCCAGGTGGGTGTCAATATATCTTCGTTCAAAGTTTAAAAATTTTAATTTCTGTGGGAGGCATGATTACCAAATGTGGGGGGTATGAATACCAGCACAGTATTTTATTATATTTTATTATAAAAATCCCCTTTTATTAATATTTTTTTCAACTTATACAGGAAAATCATCAAAATTCTGGTTAAAATGCATCGAAATCCTGGTCAGATATGCCAAATTACTAAAAATTTTACTAAAATCATAGCCTATTTATTATGTAAAAATGCCTACCTAGCGAATAAATTTTGCTATAGACTATGTTGTAGTATTCCGCAAAATGTAACCGAATACCCGGAATCAAACCGAATCTGGACTACGGTTTGGTTCCGGATCTATAATTTTTCAGATCTGATTATTTTTAGTTCTCAGTAGACAGGTACCCGATAGACCCGCATAAATCCACTTACGTTAATCATCTGATATTTGGCCAATATAATGCTAGATATCAGGTGATGAAGATCTCAAGTTAAAAATGTGTGATACAAAATCTTAAATAAAAAAGAAATTCTGAAAAGACGGTGAACTGAAAATTGTCAAGTCTTTAGATTTGATTACAACTCTGAAAAAGCCTGAAAAAACCTTGACACCCAAAATTATACTGTGTAAGTTTAGTTCATGAATTAACTATTGGCTTTGATTATAGTATTAGTGATATAGACAAGGTCTTACTAATAAAACTTGCAATTTTCAAAAGAGCCTTAATGAAACGCCTAGATAATTAGTATTTTAAATAATCTTTTACACTGTGAATTAGCTGTGTGTGCTTTAAATAGAACAGATGAGTTTAGACAAAATCTAATTAACAAATATTCACATAAACAAAAAAAGAAAAAAAAGAAAAAAAAAGAAAAAAAAAGAATAAAAAAAAGAATAAAAAAGAAAAAAAAAGAAAAAGATAAAATAAAAAATAAAAAAAGCCTAAAGAAAATAATCTATAATCGGTATTTTGTGTGTGTATTACTTCGTATATTACTATGGATGATGGTAGGTAGAGCCTGATTAATAAAAAATCTTAAAAAAAAAATTTTTTAAATTTTTTTTTAAGCTTTCGTAAGGTCGATCTCTCCTACACCATCAATTGAAAATAATGAAACGACTTGCTCAAATAAAATCAGAACCAGCGAGTCAAGTGAATTGACATTTGTATCATCAGGACCTGCTACTACCACAAATAATGAGTCATTTGTGTGGCATTACTTTCAAAAAGAAGAATCTTCTGCCAGATGTGATATCTGTGGAAAACCATTGAAATATTCTGATGGATCCACATCAAATCTTAGGAAGCATCTTAAGCTTCGCACTCACAAATATAAAGTTCCAGAACTAAATGATGAAAGGCCTTCTGTCTCTGACTTAGATATGTTGAAAAGTCAACAAAATTATGAAATATTTGATCAAAATAAACTTAATAATATGGTTAAATGATGGATCATTACACATAATCGACCATTTAATTTAGTTGAGGATGATGGACTTAGATCGATCATAACATATTTAGAACCACAAGCGAGAGGTATATATATTACAAATAAGTGATATCAGGTGAAAATGGAACCTTGATCATATAAAATTTATATGATCAAGATCCCATTTTCACTTGGTATCATTCAAATACAAATATATTACTGATTATTAATTTAAAAAAATATATATTTATTTAGTACCTTCTGCTGATTTAATTAAGTAACATATAATGAATATTTTTGAAAAAGAACGTGAAATTCTTTATAAAAAACTACAAGAAATTGTAGGAGGTATAGCAGCAACAACAGACATTTGGACAACAAGTACATATGAAAAATCATTCATGACAATTACAATTCATTACCTGGATAAGTCATGGAAAATGAAACATCTATTGTTAGACTTTATTAATATAGATAGACCTCACACAGGAATAGTAATCGCTAATGCATTTGAAAACTGTATTCAACAAATGGGAATTCTCTCAAAGCTTGTAGCAGTGACACATGACAATGCTTCTGCAAATATTAAGTTTTTATCCAAATTTTCAAATTCTGTAGCACAAGTTAGGTTTAGTTTGATTGCACGCAGCAGTCTATTCGATGTTTTAGACATATTCTGAACATTGTTATGCAAAACATACTTAAATATACAGGAGATGAATTAGAAAAATTATATATATTAATTAAAAGTATTAGAGGTTCATGAACACTTTGCAAGAAGTTAAAGATGACATGTCAAATACACAACATACCTCAATTGAAACCGATCCTTGATGTGACTACCAGATGGAACTCCACTTGTGAAATGGTTGAACGGGCATTGAAGTTACAAAGTGTGTTAGATGCTGTTGTTCTTGCTGAGGAAGATTTGCATGAGTATATTCTTACTAAATCTGAATGGAATAAACTAAATCAGCTTGTTAAAATTTTACAACCATTTAAAGAAGCAACAATTGTAATGTCATCTTCAGAATATCTGACATTATCAATGACTGTTCCTCTTTATTATGAATTACTTAAAATGCTTGAAGAATCTAAAAAAAGTAATAATATACCACCATGGCTTGTTCAAGGATGCGAATCAGCGACTGAAAAGCTCTTAAGCTATTGTAAGAAAGCTAATATTTTACATTTTTCAGCAATAGTTTTGGACCCACGATTAAAATTTCAGTACTTTGAAAAGCTTGGATGACCATTGCAACTTGTTAATCAGATTAAAGAAATGTAAGTATTTGTTATATATATATTATACAACAAATAGATTAATATATGATTTATTATTTTAGTGTTAAAAGCAAGTATGAAAGTAGTTACGAACCTTCTTCTAGTCAAGATATGGTTTACTCATCTGTTGAATCACCTCCAGTAAATATTACAACGAGAATTTTTAAACAAGCTCGAACAGAACATCAAAGTGAATTAGAGACTTATTTGATGATGCCACTTGTAGATTCAAATAAAAATATTTTAGAATGGTGGCAAGAGAACGAAGGAAATTATCCAAACCTTGCAAAGTTTGCCAGAGATTGTCTTCCAATACCGGCGACTAGTGTTCCAAGTGAGGAAATACTTAGTATAAGTGGGGATATGATTACTGATAAACGAAATAGATTAGATAATAAAACAGTAAGAACAGCGATGTGCTTAAAATCGTGGTGGAAGAAATTTCAGAATTAAACTTTACAATGTAATAAACATATTAAATAAATATCAAAGATAATAAGTGAATAGCAAAATATTAATTTCATTTTATTTTTTTGTTATCATTGATTATACAATATCGAGTGAATATTCAATACAAAAATTGACAATTAAATCATAAAATGTTGCTTAATAAGCTTTTTAATTACTTGGAACAGATGTAATTTTTCCAAGCATAAATAATGTAAAAATAAATCAATAGAATTAATATTAGTACCGGTTCGGTTCCGGGTTTAATATGATACGGTTCCGGGTCCATATAAGGACTCGACTTCACATGACGGTTCGGGTACGGATCCTAATAAAACCCGCCCGGAACCGGTCCGTGCGGAACACTACTATGTTGGCTAATATTGCTTAACGCCGGCCCAGTTCCGATGCGGAATTTTGGTGATCCTCTTCTGTAAAAAATAATTCAGACTTTTAGAATCTATATCGATATACAATTATACAATTACAGTATATCGATATAAAAAAAAATTATATTAAATATATGAGGTAGTAGTAGAATGGGTGATAGCATGCCACGGTGGCATCCTGGCACAGATTTTAAGAATGGCATGCCACATGGCATGCCAAATCGAATAATTTGTACGTGCCAGGTTCCCCTAGATTTGCCCCTAATTTCTTTTACACAATATATATTTGATACGTATAATGATTAATTACAGATACGCGTACGAACGTACGTACATGCATGCAGATAATTTCGGGTTAACTTTTATATGTAAATGCTAAGAAAACAAGACTTTGGATTTTCGGCCTTTGAAAAATCCGATCAGCGATATATGATGCGTAATACTGTAATAAAATGAGTCCATTCCTTTTATTATTATTTAGACTTTTTGTATATATATAATAAAGATAATTGGATTTTTTAAATGAAGAAAATTTTCGCCTTTTTTAAACTTTAAAGATTTTCAATGCACAATGATAATTACCGCTAAGTACTTTATTCAAATCATTAACAATGTGTGTTTCCTTTTATGATTTTTCTAACACTGATTCAATATATTTATTTATGTAATAAAAAACAACAGAATGTAAATGAATTGTACGTATTGACAGTGTGTATTTTTCATATCCACCGCTACGTAGTCACACGATTAATGCTATCTGGTGATCAATCAGGATACAGAAATATATCTGTGATTGTAGGTTCTCTCCTGCAATAACAATTTATTCATCAATGCTTAAACGAGCCAATTTTAAATATTTAGCATTAACTTTGGTGGTGCTTTTCTTTTTTCATTGGGCATTAATAACAAATCGTCCAAAACCAAGTTATTCAAAAGCATGGGTACCATCAGAACCTGAAGATCTACCAAGTATAGTTTTTGGTCCGAATAAGACGAATGTTATCAATGAACCGGATAGGGCAAAAGCATGTTTTGTAGTTTTGATTCGAAATAGTGATTTACATAGCTTTAGAGCATCTATGAGACAACTTGAAGATAGATTTAATCATAAATATAACTATCCATACGTATTTTTAAACGATGTTCCATTTACGGAAGAATTCAAGCAATATACGAGCGCCTTAACCAAAGCAAAAACCGAATATGGTAAATGGCCAAATAAATTTTTCTTTATTTACTGATGGGATTTTTCTGTGGCTATTTGTTTTGGAGAAGTTATCAGAAAAATAATTCTTTATTATAGGTGTAATTCCGAAAGAACACTGGAGTGTTCCAGATCATATAGATATGGAAACTGTAAAAAAAAATATGGAAAAAATGGATAAAGATGGTGTCTTGTATGGTGGTAGTTTATCTTATCGTCATATGTGCAGGTAAAAATGAATCGTTATGAATATATTTTATAAATATTATCTTTTTTCAAATAATATTTATTTTTGTTTAGATATGAATCCGGATTTTTTTTCCGACACGAATTATTGGATAAATATGATTTTTATTGGCGTGTTGAACCTGGGGTTCAATTTTATTGTGATGTTGACTTTGATCCATTTGTTTATATTAGAGATAATAATATTAAATACTGTAATTATGTTCTATGTTATTATTTAATATCATTGTTTTTTGTAATTCTAAATTCTAATTAATAATTTTTTAAATTTTGATAATCATAGCTTTTACCGTTTCATTATATGAGTACCCGGCAACGATACCTACACTCTGGGATTCTGTTAAAGAATTTGCTATATTACATCCAGAATTAATTGAAAAAGATAATTTAATGGAATTTATATCAAACGATAATGGAAAATCATACAATTTGTAAACTGATCTTATTTATTATTATTGTGTTAAAAAGTCTTGTTTAGAAATTACATATTAATGCCCGAATATATGTGTTTATCCAATTCTTTAATATCAATTTTAGGTGTCATTTTTGGTCAAACTTTGAAATCGGTGATTTGAATTTGTGGAGAAGTGAGGCATATATGAAATTCTTTGATTTCCTTGATAACAAAGGAGGATTTTTTTACGAACGGTTAGTTTAAAATAAAATATTTATAATTTTTTTTTAAGAAGTAAGTGTTTTATCCTAATATTTATTTTTATAATATTTATAATAGCTGGGGGGATGCACCAGTTCACTCAATAGCCGCTGCACTTTTCTTAAAGAGACATCAAGTACATTTTTTCAATGAAATTGGATATAAGCATGAACCTTTCATGCATTGTCCTCAAGAAGAAGAGCTGCTATTAAAGTGTCACTGCGATCCTAATAACAATTTTGGTAAAGTTATAATAAAATCGTTAATTTCTTTTTAATCGTAAATCAATCTAACAATCAATTTTATACATGGTTTTTGTAGATTTTCATGGATACAGTTGTACTGGAAAGTAAGTATTTTGAATGGTAGATATTTGATCTTAAGATTTATAATTGTAGTTTTATATTAACGTATTATTCGATCTAATTTAACAGATTTCTTGAATTAGTAACGAAATGGAGTTTGCAGAAACTTCAGGATAAGTGATGTAGATATAGATAACAGTAATGTTTAGAAACTATTAATGATTTAAAATATATATATATATTAATAAAAGAAAAAAAAAATTTATAAATTACATTTTCAATTTTTCGATAGAAATTTCACAAATTGTATTAATGATCTTTTAAAAATTTTTTATTTTTTTTTTTTCAGATAAAACTAAAAAAAAGTACGAAATTTTTAAAATACATCGAATTATTAAAAATTTCGATACAAATTAATAAATAGGATTATGTAAATACTGACAACACTAGCATTTTAACAATTTAAATTACTATATAATATTGTTCTATATGATTTTTTGACCAAGGTCATCGGTATATGTTTAACACGAATCTGCTAATTTTGTCATAGTTTGAATTATTTCTTCGGGTGAAGTAACATGCCAACTCGCTAATGTCTTTTTATTCGGAGGTCCAATGGTAGTTGTGAAATAATCTACATCGTTAAAGTCGGGACTTTTTAGTACTCGGAACATATCCTCGTCTGTTCTGTCATCACCCGCACAGAATACGAAATCTACATTCTGCATGTTTGCCAACAAGCGCTTCACAATTTCACCCTTGAAACCATTATATCATGTTAATATAAAATTTTTAATTAAGATTAATAAATATATTTACTAACCTTGTTAATTAATGTTGGACGAACTTCAAGATTTTTCTTGCCTAGCAAAATTTCTACAGGTAATTTTGGTAGAATTGCGCTTTCCAAATGATTTTGACATTCTTTAGCTTGGAATGCACTAATTAAAATTAATCGATACGTTCTAATAAGTAAATGTATTTATTTAATTTAAAACAAGATGATATAAAATTACCCATATTCAGGATCTGCTTGACGATAGTGCCATGTGATTGAAGAACGTTTACGTTCAACGGATGAACCTTGCGTACGGTCTGTAAAGTATTTGAAAATCTTATTAACAGCATTCGTCCAGCTCATATCAATATCTGCGGTGAGATTAATCCATTTATCACTTTCAGGATACTTGAGGAAACAACCATGCTCTGCACTATAAAATTCGTTTAATAAATCAAAGTCATTGACAAGTTTGTTATTAATTATTGATTAACAAATTTGTTATTAATTATTAACAAGTTTGTTATTAATTATTGATGAACAAGTTTGTTATTAATTATTGATAGATCAAGGATTACACACCTAAAACCAAGTTTCTTAATATTGCCGAGCCATTCCTCCAATATATCCTGATCACGTCCAGACACTATCCATACGGTATTTTTTGGATCATCCACGAGTTTTTTTAAAGCCTCGAGCATATGTGGTGGTGGTATTGCTTGACTTGGCGTTTTTACAATCGGTGTAAGCGTACCCTTCAAAAAAAAATTAAAAAATAAATTGAATGATTATGAAATCCAAAAATAGATTAAGCATATAAATGAAATAAATACTCTACATCATAATCGAATAATAATAATCGGTTTTTTGAGCTTTTATATTTTTCCGTTAAAAGTTGTACGTCAAGATAAGGAGTGATATTTGATTGATTATTATTTAAGCTGTGAATAAGTTCCTTGATAAAAGATTTTGCCCAAAATTGAGCAGTATATATAGTCACATGTCTGTATAATTGCTATAAAAGAGAATACTTATTCTTAAAAAAAAAAATCACGTAATTTTGAAAAAAAAAACCATCTAAAAAGAGATATATAAATACCATATGTTTGTTTTGTTTTTCTTCATAACTCATAGTAAGAGCGTCATTTATGGCTTTAGCTACGCCACTATAATCCCATGGATTTACCATAATAGCAGCACCCAAAGAACCAGCCATTCCAGTAAACTCACTCAAGATGAGTGGGCCATAATTTTCTTGTTGACACATGACATATTCTAAAGAAGTAGTATTCATTCCATCACGAACTGATGTAATCAAACCTATATCAGCAACGCTTAAAAGAGCATAATATTCATCTTGTTCAATTAGGCTATGAAGATGATGAACAGGAGTATAATTGAGAGAACCATAAGTGCCATTTATATGAGCAATAAGCTCGGCGACTCTACGCTCAAGTTTTGGGGATTCAGTTAGAGCAGGAGAAGTGACTTGAATTAGAACGACCTAAAAAGAATTAATAATAATAATTAATAGATAATTAATAATTTAGAATAAAAATAATATATGAATAATAATTAGTAGTTAATCAAATAAACAAATAATATATTGACCTTATGTTGCCATTCAGGATATTCAGACAAAAATTTTTCAAAAGCGTGTAATTTTTGAATTACGCCCTTAACTAAATCGAGCTTATCTCTACCAACAATAATTTGTTTTCCAGAATGTAGTTCCCTTAATGCAGCAATTTTTGGAGCAACTTCTGGATTTTTTCTTTGCTTTTCAACTCTTTCAGCATCTATACCGATGGGAAAAGGACCAACAGATACTAATGAACCTTTAGCATCGACACCACTTGGAGTTGATTCATAACCAAGGATACGAGTACAATTGCTTATAAAATGTCTCGCATAAGAATATGTCTAAAATAATATAAAATAATAACAATAATAATAATGATGATAATAATAATAAATAATAAATAATATAATGATTGTTTTTATGATGGGATTAAATAGAGAAAGATCGAGTAGTGTTGTTAGCCGACTAAATTATCGACCGATCATTGACTAATATCGACCGATCATCGATCAATTTCACACTTATTAACAATGAAATGTGCAGAAATAAGTTGCATATTTCATTGTTCATAAGTGCGCATTGTATACGCTAAGTTGGATAATAAAACTAAAAACTAGAATACCTGAAAACCAATTTGGTTAGCACCTAGCATACCATCTAGCATTTCCTTCCTTTCTTTAGATTAATGAAAATATAAAAAATTAAAAGGCAAGAACATATATAAAGGGAACATAAAAATAAAAGAAGTCGAAACTTACGCGGTAAACATCTAAATATTTCAGAACTTGGAAAAGGAGCATGAATGAAGAGGCCAATAGCGGCATCAGGAAGCAAATCACGTAACATACGAGGTATCAACAAAAGATGGTAATCATGAATCCAAACTATAAGTATTTAAATGATGGAATTAATAATGAACATCATAATATATAGTAATAATAATAAAAGAATAATAATAATAACATACCTAAATCATTTGGACGATAAATTTCTTTGATTTTGTCGGCAAATGCTTGATTGACAGCGCGATATTGTATCCAATTTTGATTTTCTTGACGACCATCGGTTGCGGTATCCCACAAAATATAGTGAAACAACGGCCATAATACTATGACACGTACAATCAACAAAACACGAACGTAGAATCTGCAGGATAATTGGTAAAATCAACACGCGAATGCGCATCACGTACCAGTTTTACAAAAACCCTCATAATGGCCGTGATGTTGTTCATCTTCAAGAAATACCGGCACAATTTTTTTTTTCAATAAAAAGTCCTGCAAACTTTTCTTAAGATCCTCGGTAAAAGAACTATTCTCAATTGGCTTTTCTTCGGTATCAAAAATTTGACCTATGAAACCAATGTGGTAACTATCCCAATCTTTAGCTAAGGAATGAATTCCAGCGTAAAGAGCGGAATGACCCCTTCGTGGTCTTATAGACCAATTATATGTAGTAGTACCATCCTCAGAAAGTTTTGGAGGTTCTAACATATAAGTGTCATAAGGGATCAGATGGGTCACGTTAATGATTCGGGTATACTTCGAGTTTGTAGAAATGCTAAGAAGCTGCGTTGTAGGCATATTTAAATAGAAACGACTTTTTAACAAATTCGTTACGAAGGTGTATATATATCTATTATCTATATATATATATAAATATGTATTCTAATTAGAGTTATAAAAAAAAAAATTTTTTTTTTTTTATAAAACAATGATGCAAGAATGACCGATGTTTGGTTTTTTAAAGGGGCCAACATTTTACACATTTTACGTATCGACTATTACTGTATTGCATCACAGTGTCTTAAACTTATCGCTACTTATCGTTATCTTCTCGATATCAAGTATAGTATCATCCATACCTGGTATATGGAAATATAGATGTCTGTGCTGTTTGAAACTAAACCGTCCTCTCATATCTTGTACAACAAATATTGAAAATACAGATGGTTTGATATTCTTATCTGTTTCGAGAATCACTTAAAGTTCATATGAATATTAAACAGATTTCATATCTGATAACTAAGGTTTCTGTCACGCCTTAAATGAATTAACCTTTATTGGTGCAATTTGTTATCTTATTAATCTTTAAGTTTTATCACGAAAGACGCGAAGATTAAGCATAAGTAATTTAGCATTTTGAGCAATAAAAAATTCAGGTGATTTAAGTCTATTCAAAAGTAATAAACAGCTGAATAGATCGATTCTTCAAAATGAGATATGTTGTAAAATGAAATGTTATGAATATCCAATGCTTAAAAATAAATTTAGAACAATGAAGATCAATGGTCAGACTGTTTCCATATCGTGAATAAGTTCACTTAATAATCGAAAAGGAATCATTTTTTAATTATACCGGTGCGTTTGCCGTGAATTATCATCGCATCTAGAATAATGTGCTAAAAAGGATTCCATTTTACAATATACTTATTAAGTCTGAATTGGTGCTAGTAACCAACGAGTCGTGATTCGGGACCCCCGTAATCGACAATCATGATTTATGTTCATATTATTCCGTGATCTCTATTATTAAACGTGTAGTACAATCTTTAGTAGTTGTACGTACATACGTAAGGCTACAGGTACGTACTTCTATAGATAAACTTGTATGTACTTGCGTACTTCTGTAGACTTACATAGTGTCCAGAAATGTTTATAGCATCACCCAAAAATAACGCCAAAAATAACGCAGGGCTAAAGATATTATTAGCATTATTTCATTATTGTGTTTCAATTAATTAAACTATTTTCAATACATTACGTCAATCGTCCCAACAGATTAGGTATTTATTTCGTTATCCACGCTTTAGACCCTGATACCATTGTCTTCCTATATCAATAGCTCTTCATAGCAATCACATAACTCTATAACTTCTTGCGATGCATTGACATGACACTTTAGAAAGCAAATGTGGCCAACCACCTTCGTTCTCAATCTTAATGGACTTCGGTGTGCCAACCCTGACAAATAAGATATATAATTGTCATCTATGGCACGTTTGTCTTTTTGTGACAAAGGGCATTTTCAAGCAACTCCTTCAACGATTTGAAAGTATTGGAGATGCTGGTCGATAGTGTTCTTTGTAACGATGTGCTGAAATTCGTTGTGCGAAATTCGGAGTTTAAATTTTAGCCAATCAGAGTAACTACGGTCGTACGGGTTTTCTCTACTGGGTTATATCTCTTTTATTTAATACCTTATTTAATACCTCATTTAATACCTCATTTAATACCTTAGTAATATCCCCATATTTTTTTAAGCAGAACAAATTTCTTTGCGTATGTATGTATACATTTAATTGTATCCCAGCCTTTGTTATACCTCCAAAAAAAATTAAAATCAGAAAAAAAGGATGATATAACCCATGTATGACTGTATACCGTATAAAAAAGATAGGCATCTGTTCTTATTTGATTTCCAACTATATACATATGTAATTAAAAATTGCCTCCAATCCATTGAGTAAAATTCTTGGGGGTCTCCATTAATGCTAGCGTATTGCATGCACCGGGACCAGTACGATCAGAAACATGTGTAATGTACATATCAGGAACTGTCAAATTTTATTTCGATTAAGGCATTTTGATAAAGAAAATTCTAATTTACACGTAGTGTAACTGTATGTATGCGTAAGTATACGTATGAATTTATTGTTTCAAATCTTATTAAAACTAGGGTTGTTAATGGAGTGTTCCAGTCAATGATAAATATTAACCTACTTCGGAGCACTCCAGAAGCAGCTTATGTGGTTTATTAGACGTACGTACGTATGTAGTAAATTTTATTATGATACCTCATATAGACATAATTATTTAATATATAAAATACCCCATGCCCTGTGCCTTAAACCCTAATTATACGTAAACACAGTAAAAATCGTAAAAAAATTGGATAACTTCGTGGCAGGGCTAAAACGACATATAGTAAATACCGGACATTTACTGTGCCACCGCCCATTGTCTAAAGTATCGTTCTTGATGTAAAATTTATAACGAAGCGTATTTAATTATGTATTTTATTTATATAGATGTACTGTACTTAAATATTTTTATTAATGCAGTAATTATATCATATGCATGCAATATCGCATTAAATTACTTTTTTAGCCAATAAAATTTGAATATACCGTGAATCAAGAACGACACTTATTAAATGTCCGGTATTTACTATATGTCGTTTTAGCCCTGCTTCGTGGTCAAGATTCTTTTGGGTTTTATTTTTAACCACCCTTGAAATTTCATGGAAAGAACCTTCAAAATGCAAGAGAATTTGCAAAATGATACCCAGAAATTAAACCGACTTCTTTATTGTTAAATAAGCCTAGAAAGCAAATTTGCCTAAATTTTACTTATAAAATTTGCATGCGGTCATAGTTGGCTTTAATTCTGAATGTTACATATAAACCGCATATATTACTTGACTTTAAACGAATTGTTAAAGCATGCGGCATAGATATTCTGAAACTACACATTCTGTTTTATAACATATCAAAATAATCCGGTGAAAGGTTAATTAATCCAGAAGTCAGTGACGGGTGCACTTTTTCTTATAGGTTAGAATAATTTAATAATGAGCAAAGTAAATTGTACCTTTGCTAATTAGTATTGTTACGTTTTTTTTTCAAGCTTGTTAATTTAAGAATAGCGCTTCAAACAATAATGCTTACAACTAGTTTTTTTTTCTGAACATAGGTTATTCGATAAAATTTTTAAAAGCATAATACAATTTTCACATTACACCTGATCCTGAAATTCGATTGGTTGTTATTACAAGGGGTGGAAAAAATTTTGTGGTACAGCTAGGGGCTTTCCCAATAGACCATAGTGTATTTTTTATTCTAAGTGAAGTGAGGCGGAAGGTTTACTTAAAGCTAATAATAACTTCGGCAGGGTTTCGTTAGAATTAGCCAGGGCGACCCCCAAAAGTGCGGGTCAGATGATCCGCGCCACAGCCGTAGCAGTAAATTTCGGGGCATGTGATTGAATCTCATTGGCAATCTTTTTTGCCCCTATCGCTATAACCGTTATGATCTCGTAAGAGTTCGAAACACGAGTCTTGAATTCGGTCCCTTTCTTATAGACATATATTAGCATCTATAAGGCGAAGCAAAAGAAGAAGTTGATCAGGCAATTCTTCTTCGTGGTATATACTGTATGCTTATTTATATTTTAATATGTATTTTTATGAATCTAAACTTTATTACAGTATTAATGCTACGTACTCAAAGTTACAAGTAATAGGTCTACTTAAGTTTAAAACGGTATACATTTCATGCGAGAAGTTTAAATTGACGAGTACTTTATAAACAAGTTATATCATTTTTACTGATGTATGTTATCTGTTTACATTTATTATTTGTGCTTGATTAGTTATTAGTTAAAAATATATAAATTACTAATTTTTCAAATTTTCATTCACAATTCCTTTACAACATTACTCAATAAATCGGTTGTAACATTAATTGTTGCACTCTTATCCGAGCATGGCAAGTACATCAAATATGGTTTTGTGGAAGCCGGCGCCCAAGTCGCCTGTCGATGTCTTTTTCGTTCTACCGATTGTATTTCTTCTTCCATCGGTGCTAATCGGCACCATTCTATCATTGCACGGAGATGGTGCCAATTATTAGCCGATCGTTCAGCATGCATCCGCTTCATTGCCTGTTCAACTAAGGGCCAAGTCGTTTCAACATAAGAACGAGCATCTTCTTCAGGGTCCTCATCAACATCAACAACACTTTCGAAAACCTCAATAGATGTGGTAGCAGTCATAGGTAAAGTATTTTCTATAACCTCATTACTATTTACATCCTTTATAATAAGAAAAGGCGGTGTGGTCTGACGTTGGAAATCTTCCCTAATTAGTCGTCGTCTTTTTCCATCAGGCATATTTACAACCTGTCGTACCAAGTGTTTACATATTAGGAAACGACTTCCGACAAAGCCAGGACAACTACATATCCAACGAGAAACCTCTGTAAAATATGAGCCAGCTTCTTCAGTTGTCCTTATATCAGCACGTTTTCTCTTGCCTTTGTTATATTTATTTGTCCGCATCTCTACCCGACGTTCATCACTTGTACCTAAATAAACCCATTCCCGTTTGAAGTCCTCCCACCAACACGGATTTATTATACCATTTAAAATTTGGGAAAATTTGTCCCTTTGTGTTGGTATCACTTCGTTGAATAAGGTCCAAAACAGAAGGTCTAGCCTAGGACTATTGAATCGTTGTAAGTAATGTCGTTTGAGAACACCCCAATGGGCTTCGATCTTCATGGTTGTTTTACTTAGAGCTATCGTAGGTTTAGCTGACCGGGCCCAAAGTTGCCATCGATCAAGTGAATACCAGTTTGTCCAGAGATACGACCATAAAAGGCGCAGCCCATTTACAACACAAAACTGATATATTTCATTTACAGCACTTTTTCTGATGTCTACCGGCAACATGGTATCTCCCTGAACGTTAACTGGTATCAGCGGATGCATAT